GGGTGCTCACATTTGTCCTGCAGAGAGTCGTGGGGTACCTCCCCTTGGGGACTCTCCTCAAGGTCCCCGTAGTGCAGGACCTTGTGGTTGGGCGAAAGCCGGCAGTACCAGAATTTGTCTAGAAGCGGGACGAAAACATGGAGCCGGATAGAGATGAGTCATTTAAGCGCTAACAGCAAACTGGTGACTGTAAATACCGTATTGGCCCGAATATACACGGCCCCAATTATAAGACGACCCCCCTCTTTTTCAAGACTCAAGTGTGAAAAAAGACTTTTTGAACACCAAATTAATATTTATACAGAAAATAATTACAGTACATCTGAAACAAATGATTCTTAACAATATATTTGAGAGAAAAAGCATGTTATTTTGCCTCATTCAAATCTAAAGTGCAATCACATTCGTAAATGAATGGCTTCTGGTTTTTGAAATGTAAATAACTTCTCCTCAGCTGCCGGTTAACCTGGCCGATCTTCGACCCACTTTTCTCCAGATTGTCGCTACGTTTCTCCATTTTCTGTTCTCTCTTTTATTATTTTCTTCTCTTTTCCTTCTTACTGCTATTTTTTATTTTTCTTCTTCGTGCTACCACGATTTTTATTTTTATTCTTTGTGGCAGGGGTTCACTTTGGCCTGGGGAGTCAAGTTCAGCATTCGCTTCATTGATATCTGGCGCCAACTAGCGTCGTGAATGGGTATAATGTCTAGACCCCGAATATAAGACGCCCCCCACTTTTTCAGTCTTATTTCAATGCAAAAAAAAAAAAAAGTCTTATATTCGGGCCAATACGGTAGATGACGTTTGTTGAGTGCTAGCCGAGGGAGGAAGCAGGATGACGTTCTCGGATGGTAACTCGTGCTCAGGCACCCTAGGCCTGGAAAAGACACTTTTGGTGGCTCTGGTCCACAGGGAGCAGACAGATCTGTGGGCGGTGTGGAGGATGCTAGCAACTGTGCGTTTGTTGTGTACACAAGTCCATATGATGGTCCAAAATGCGACATGCTTATTAGCTGCGCGGACGAAGTGGCTGGGGAGAAGGGAAGTCTCAGCTTCCCTTGCTGAAAAGCTGCCGCCTCCGCGACCCCACACCGGATTAGCGAGAGATCACGGATAGATGGAACTACTTCGAGGCTCTGGTAGCTAACGACAGCGGCTAATAGCTCATGCTAGCATGTCACCTTGTCTCCTGCGACTGCTGATCTTCCTGAAGCACGTCCCTTCACACAGTCGATTGAGCCTCTGCTGTTTGATCAGCTCCATAATCTCCGGCTGGATCTTCTCCTTCAGCTCCCTGCACCAACAACACATGGACACCGGAATACGTTAGCAACCCGTCACACGCACGCATGCTCACGCAGAAATGTCATCTTGTTTGATTGAAAACCTTTTTTAGTTTTTATACAGATGCATTAGACAGCTGCTAAAAATAGGATTGAATGTAAGACACACACACACAAACATGTATCGTGTGATTCGCCGACTCACAGGATGGGTCGGGACTGGAAGTCCTCCTGATTCATCCTCTCCGACTGTCGTATCTTGAGGATCTCGGCGTAGCTCAGGTTCTGCAGGCGGCTCTTGAACTGGTCCAGCGAGTTAGGCTTCAGCGTCAATGCTCTCATGATCTGCTCCCGCACCACCTGCATGACCTACGCCACAGGAAAGAGGGGGGTCGGAAGCTCAACTTCAGAGGCGAATCTCGTAATTGGGTCGGGGACAACATGACGAGCTGCCCACTGTCGTATCCGCTGCCCCCGAAAGGGCTAAATACAGTGATCCCTCACTTATCGCGGTTAATGGGGACCGCGATAAGTGAAAAACCGCGATGGACCGTTGGCTCCCTGACTAGGAATTTTTATATGTATGTGGGTACCAGCATGGTTAAAATATGCAACAGTATTTATTATTTACATATTTGAGACAAAGACTACAGCAGTATGCATATTTACTAAAATCTTTAATTATAAAACCTTTTACAGTAAATAACATTCATCAGCATTGCCTTTGGAGAGAGACCAAGAGACTTGTGTTACTCTCACTTTATGCTGCTCTGACAGTGGAGCCGCCGTTAGCCTCCAGCTAGCTGATGGAACCAATCATGCGTACAGCCATACACAAAACCTCTGTGTCATTTGTCATTTTTCTCTGCA